TCTTTCCCCTTCCCACAGGATAATGTAAATGAAGATTTACTTTTTTGATTTTCCAAGGAGTTATACAAATGAAACTGGGCACAACAGTTCTGATTATATGGTTATAATGAGTGGGTAATTCACAGAAATATAACTGGTTGTGTTACAAATGGAGTAACTGTAACCTGTGAATAAAGTAATGGTTTTTATACATCATACGAACTGAATCAAAGAGATCTTGGGTAAGGTTAGTTTAAATTTGGGTTTAGTACTGAATTAAGAGTCAAGCTTCAGAAACTGATTTTATCAGTGTTTTTTCAAGTCTCTGTTGAAATTTCAAAATTTCAAATCAATCTTTAAAAATTGTGGCAGATACTGATTACAAAATGCAAGGTATTCTTTGTATGTATTCAATACAGCTGAATTATCTGTAAGATACCTGACCCCGGGAGCACTGGCTAGATTGAAAGAGGCTCGATTTGAGATAAAGCATTTTTCTAGTTGCTAGTAAAAACCTGTGCCGTGTCCTCCAAGGACCTAGTGCCCAATTAAGTATCCAATTCTCATCGGATCTCAAAAGTAGTAAAAATTTCCTAGCAGGATCAAGCTACAAATGAACACATGCTTGTATTACAGTGAAAACCAAGTAAATGTAACAAAACACAGGCAGTATTTTACCTGATGAGGTCCAAAGGCTGTTCTTTGTAGAACCGCAAGAAACGGGCCCACTCCATGTACAGCGTGTATCTCTCATTGTCACAGTTTGGATCATTTGCCTTTTTCCAGTACTGGCACTGTGAGCAAATCAGAGCAAAGGCAAAACACCTCATCGACAGACTCAAATACTACATTAAAAGAAATGAACATTGACGATGATGATGCATGCCTCTTAAGATTATGCCAATTAAACTAATTTGAAATTCAAACTTAGCACTCTACTTCACCACTTGATTTAAGTAGAACCTTTTTATGTATGTTTTAAGATAACATTTATCAATCTTAGACATTAAGTCAACCTGTACTGTAACCACATCATGTTACATTACACCAGTGTTATGCTGGTACAACATATTCATTTGCACTGGTAGAGTACTGCAGTGAATGGATTGTTCCTTTATACTGGTGCAGCATATGCAACTGCAGAAGTTCAAGCTTCCCTAAAGCAGAAACCCACCATTTTACTCCTGCTTCATTAAAAATAATGCAAATTTAAATCCTGCTCTCTGTACTTCTGAATCAGGCTCTCATTGTAAATTGCACAGCCAAAAGCATTTCACCAAGAGATGTAAACTAGGGGATATAAATTAAAGTTGTTTCCTGCCTCCAGCCATAGCACTATAATGTACTCCGTGCTGTGGTTTCTCAAGCTGTAATGCAAGGATATGCAAAATGAAATTCTGACACTAGTTAACTTCAGTGGTATTCATCACTATCATGTCAAATACTAAGAAAATTTTGGAACTTCATCAGTTTCCTAGAAATTAAACAGCACAAAATAACTGCAGTTTCTCACAGCTCTTGTAATTTTATTTTGTGTTGTAGAACTCTGCCTTTGGCTATGTCAAACATTGTTTGTGATCTTGGTTTTCCTTTTTTTCTCAATCACAAGGAAAAACATGAAAATTGGTTTCTAAATTGAAACCAAGAAGTTTAAGCAATCTAAAGTTTGCATTTTTAAAATATTTTAAAAGATTAAATAGTTATTTTTTAGACAAGGATTTGTAAGTCTATCTCATGATTTTGGAATTTTGTCATACAATCCCTTAGCATTTAAGATTGGTTGTACTTGTATAGAAAAGATTCTTGTACAACTGCTTTTTATTATCTGTGTTTTTGGTAGTCCCAACAGTATGAAGTACTTCCCAGCCTAGACTAGCCTTCTACAGCCTAGACTCTGATCAGCTAAATTTTCCCTCTGAAAACCTATAGAATGTCCATTCATCCGCTTCTTTTCATTTTGTAAGGGAGGAAAAAATATTTAAAACCATTAAAACATATAAATCTATATAAAGTATTTAAAAATATCTTGTGGTAGAATTCACAGATATAAATAAGCAATTTAAGTTCACTAAGGCATTGTGACAAATATCAAATAATAATCAAAAACAAGGAGAGAATTTAAGATTTAAGCAACGAATTAAACACAACATTCAGAAGGAAAAAAAAAGAAATTAAAAACCGAAAATACAATAACCCGTCTCTCTCGTTTTCTCCAAGGGATTTCAGGGCTAAATCCACATAGGTTGTATTAAAAATTGACCCTACCGCAAAAATAAGCACCAGTATTTACCATCCTGACCATACTTCCAGTATTTGCAGTTGCTCACCAAAGCTCACTAGGAGATGGACAAGTGACCACCCCACACTGAACTGTAGGGCTCATGCAACTCATCTGACTTCAATCCCAACATGGTATCACCCCAAAGTGTTTATATAACTACAGTGTATGTACGTACACACCCTATACACACACACTGCTGAATGTATGCATCTACAGTAGGTATTCATTCCTTGTTATAATCTTTCTAATGTACTACCGCATAATCTGTATCATAAACACTATAGGAATATACTATGGAATAAGTCTCTTACACATTATGTGACTCACACACAAGTATATCCTAAAAACTTAGCTCCTGTATACATGCACAGGAAGAAACATTTCAGCACATAAAAGCCAAATAGTAGGGCTGGCAGATATGTCTTGTGTATTATAAAACAGAATCAATTACTGGGACAAATGGAAGGGTTTGAGTGCATTTTCATTTCTGCTGAAAACAGCAAATGTCACAGTAGGTAAAAGAGTAAAAACACTGGGAAATGCTCAAGGGAGCAGAAAGCTAAAATACTTACATCATGAAGAGGATATGCAGCTGAATAGGTACCATTATTTAGCAGTCTCTTAATCCCAAATTTTTTCTTCCCTTCTTCTGTTCCATACGGGCAACGTGTAAGAATATAATTAACCTGAGATTCAAACACAAGGATTTCAGACCTTTCCTGCTTTAAGGCCATTTAACAGAATGGCCACTTAACACAACCTTTAATTGTCGTGCACTGTGTATAATCTGCAGGAATAATACGCAAAAGCAAGAATTGTTTCTCCAGAAGGCTCTACCCTGTATGAGACCGTTGAGGGCACGCTTGCCTTGTAGACATCTAGAAGATCCATTCCAACAAATACTATTCCAGATTTGTAAGAAAGATGCACAGGCATTTAGGTTTCCTCATATTTATCCACAGATATCGCAGTTTACATACTCCTTCCTTGCATGAATATTCCTACGGGACCGCGTAAATTTACATGTAAATAAAAGTAGACAAATTCACATACGTACTATTCTGTTTCTCATGGATGGCGAGAAGAAAGTGCTCTCGTCATTAATGAGGTACAGCTCCTGCTTCTCCTTGCTGAATGGGGCCGTGAAATAATCCGGTTCAGGGTGCATCACCTTCTCGGGAAGCCTGAGCGGTGCAAGCATGCAGTCCAGGGGGTTCTCCACCGTTGAGGGAATGTCATTTTCCTTGATGGGAACTTTAATGTTCAGCACTTCTGCATACGTGATCAGAACCTCCCACGGGGCATGGATCTTCACAAAACAAATCTTACCATCTTCAGATTCCTGCCCCAGGAAAGTTAAATCGGACATCAGACTAAACTATGTCTTCTTGCAAGATTTATGAGAACAGTTGCTATACAAAATTTATTGCCTCTTACATATTTTTGAAAGCTTTAAAAATAAAAAGGGGGGGGGA